ACTTTTGATATATGAAATTTGAGAGCAAATATTCTACCATGTTTCTTCCAAAAGTATTTAATTGTTTTTATTTGACCGGATACGACTTCGATTAGTCACCAAGAGAGAGCCATCACTTTTTAGGAACCTTAGTTGGGTTTCCTACCTTTTGAAGTGAGCTTTCCTTTGTTCCTTAAGCTTGGATGCTTCCATCCATAGTCTAGGAACCCTAAGTCCGAAAATCTTCACTGCTTCAAGTGTCTTACATTCGAATTTCAAGCTCCATTGAAGAGGTCCAAGCATTGGTGAATCCGAGGAGAAGAACATCTACCACTTCTCCGCCACGGTAGGTGTCTTGTTCGCTTTAACTTTTCTTCTATGTTGATTTTGCTTGGTTTGTTGAGGTATTATCGCTCTGTGCAGGCAGGGATAGCTACCGAGGTGGGGGCTTGTGCTGTTGAGCAAATCGTCCAGGCCGTCGTGGTGAGTACCTCGTTTTTCATTTTTCTGGTACTTTTTATGTTGTTCTTTTGTCCTCTGATGTGCTGTTTTTTTGTAGGTGGGAGATGCTGTTGAGATCCCGGCGGCTCCGAGCTCTGCGGTCCTCGAGGCAGGTGTCCCTGTTGCTGAGCAGGGGACGTCGGCTACCGCTTCCGCTACTGCCGAGGTTCGGGGCAAGGGGCCAAGTTCCGAGGTCCCTAAGGCGACGCCTGCAGTCTCTACGCCGTCGTCAGGTCCGTCACAGGGGGCCTCCCAGAGCCGATACATTGCTCACCGCTTCTGGAAGGACAGCTCTGATGTGCGCCTGGACCACGTGAGTGCCTCCACCGACATGAATTCGCTGTGGAGCGCGAGGGTGACCGCCGAGAGGTTCTTCCCCAAGGGATCGCTGAGCTCGGAGGATCAAGAGATGATCGAGGAGGCCGGGCCCGTGGAGAGCTTTGATGTTGCTCAGGTCCTTCTACAGAGGGCTACGGCCATTATGGACCACTGGAAGCATAGGTGGTCCAAGTAGCAGGAGGATCTGGCTAAACTGAGGGGCCGAGTTCAACCCCTGAGGGATGAAAACAAAGTCTTGAAGGAGGAGAACAAGGTCCTTAGTGCTGCCCTCGGTGAAGCAAAATTGCAGGGTGCCGAGCTGCGAGTCGCGAGGGGGGATCTTGCGAGGGTGCAGAAGTCGCTGGAGATTGCCTTGCATTCCAACGAGAACTATGCCTCCCAGGTGGGCAAGCTACAGGGGCTTGCCGCCTCATCCCGGAGTCGGGTGCGCTTCCTTGAAGATGAGGTGACGTCTTTCCGTGGTCGGGTTCGCTGTTTGGAGGATGAAGTAACCTCCTTGAAGAGTGAGCTGGTGGCGGCGGCTGAGAAGCGTCTCTGTGACGAGGTCATCCTGGGCGGCAAAGAGGAGGAGCTCGCCTCTTTGAGAGTGGAGTTGGCGAAGCTGGAGGAGGCCAAGGCGGGGCTGGAGAGGAAACTCGAGGAGACTGAGTGAGTTGTCATCTTCGAGCATAAGAGGGGCTTCCTCAAGGCTACTTGCCAGGCCCGACTCCTTGCACCAGGGTTCGACTTCTCGGCCATGCACGTGGAGAAGGTTGTCCGCTTTGAGAAGCTGAACAAGGAGGATGATGTCGAGGACAACTCTAGTGACAACGCCTCCGCCTAGGCTATTTTTGTTATGTTTTTCTACTTTGTTATTCCTTTACTTGAATTCATGTATTGAACTCGGTAAACATGGTTATGTATATACGTATTTTTTATCTACTTGTTATTGCGCTTTCTTTTGCCTTTGTATTTAAGCCTGATTTTTTCTTGTTTGGGTGTTTTGAGAGATACGTTCGACCCTGAGTTAATCATACCAATGTTCAAATTCGACCTCTGATTTTCGTTATGTTACTGATGGAAAAAGGTAGGGAGAAGTGATGAATGTTCTTC